CACATTTCAGATAAATGCCAGGATATCTACAACTTAGACATATACTCAATCTGCAAAATAAATAAATAAATAATAAAATAAAATAAATAAAAAGAGAAAATCTTAAAAGGGTCCAAAGGAAAGAAAACACTTCACCTACAGAGGAACAAGAATAAAAAAATACAGCAGACTTCTCTTCAGATGCTGTGCGAGCCAGAAAAGGGTAGAGTGAAATACTTAGAGTATCAAAGAAAAAAATGCACCAACCTAGAATTCTGGATACAGCAAAATTATTTTTCAAAATGAAGGAGAAATGGAGACTTGGTCAGATACAAAACTGAGGGAATTTATCCCCAGTAGATCTCCCTTGCAAGAAATAAAATAAATCCTTCAGAATGAAGGAAAGCTATGTAGGTCAGGTATTTAGAGTTACACAAAGAAAAGGAAGGTATTAGAGAACAAATAAGTAAATATCACTCTGACTGTAATGTAAAGGGCAAATTAGCAGGATAAGGAGTGGAAGCAGGTAAGTAGGTTGTGGAATTGTGGGAATGACGACAGCTTGGAAAAACTGAAACGAGGAAGCACGTACATGGTAGAAGCAGACGCAGTTGAGATCTACTTAGACTAGAGGAGCTCGGCACTTGCTTATTGCTTGTAAGTGGTGAGGGAAAGGCAAGAACAAGGCTGATATACTGATTGTTAGCTTAAGAAACCAGGTAGATAATTTTTCACTTACTAAGATGGGAAAGAACATGAGAGAAAATTTTGAGGAATGGAATCAGGAGCTCCACTGTGAATGCTAAATTTGGCTAAAAAGAACGAAAAGTCATTGAAGGCAAGATGTCAAATAAGTATCTGAAATTAAAGACAAATATTTTCTCTGTATAAAGAATATGAGATTTATTCAGGATTCAAAAATGTTTGTTGATCATCTATGGTGTTTAAGAAACTGGCAACTTGTGATGTTGATATGAATAAGACCTAGTCTCTGACCTTGAACAAGTCTAAGTTTTACACAATAGAGATGGTTTAAACAAATAGATTCAATATTATAAGTGCATTAATTTGAAAATAAAATTCTATAGAGGAAAGAAAAAGAAGGAAGGGAAGCGAAATGAAGAAAATAGTCTTAGCATTTATCTTCCAGAAATGACACATAGTTCATATTATTTGCCTACTTTTTCCCTTAGAATTATTAGGCTATTTTATTAAGATGTGGTGATGTCCTGGATAGAACTACGAAATCTTGGAATGAACATTATTTGCTCTGGGCCAAGATGATATACACATGACCAAAACAGTATTTCTAAGAAAGGACAAGTGAGGAATTAAGGAAGTGGAGTCTTTCCCTATCTCTGCATACAACCAGGACAATTAGGTCGATTTGAAAATGACTTCCAACTTTTATATTAACGTAGAGAGAATCAAATGGAATGTTTAAGACATTATGCATGGAAGTGAATACAAATATATTTTCACTTAGAATTATCTTTGAGATAGTGATTCTGGATCTACAATAAAATAAAGAATGTACCATCATTCCCAGAAGGCACAACAGAGAAAGTTGTTCCAGAGGGGAGAAGCTTGTGCAGTTTTTGAGATTTAAAAAGCAGGGTTTAGGACATTTTGAATATTTAAATAAGACTGAAATATGGGTGTTGTGGAGCAGAATAATGGACTCTAATGAAACTCTAATGAAAATAGTTCACTCTAATGAACTCTAAGGAAAAAATGGAGACTGTATTAGACTTAGGGACTCTAAATAAGATTTCATTAATTAATTGAAAGTGTTAATTGACTATTATGTGAGAATGAAAAAAACTCTTGATGTGATTTTCATTATTTTGTGCTATTTCATCATATCTTCAATCAATCATTTCTAACAAAAGATAGAATTTCTCAATTTTTTTTTTCCATTTCAGGCTCTTGAAGCTATATAGAGTTATTACAAATTTGAAGAAAATCTCTGTAGACATCAAGAGGAATTACAAATAATAAATTAGGATACATGCTAGTTAGGTATGTGTATCATACTCTCTTGCATTTGTCTTAAAAATGTGATATAGAGTTGGTGACACCAGGCTTCTCTCAGTTCCATGTCCTATATCTAACTTACATTTTAATTACTGATGATTAGTGATGGGATCACATTCAGCTTGATAACTGTAGCCTCAACCATGTCCCAGTTATCAAATACATTTCAATAGCAGTTCTATGAAGACCAAATCTATTTTTACTATGGACTAAAAAGAAAGATTTTAGTTATCTTTTTGAAACTCATATGCAGCATGCCTACATGCTGAGGAAGAGACTTTATAGACTACTGGGTTATCACTTCTTTTTGAACTTTGAAGGGAACAAAAGAAGTAAAGAGAATCTTGAACTAAATCATGAGGAATTTAGGTGTGACACACACCAAAAAACTATTTTGGTTGCGGGTTATCAAGGTGAGAGGAAAAATCTTTTTTGGAAGCAAATAAGAGTTTAAGAGATTTCATTTATCTGTAAAGGCTTAAAGCTCTTAGAGGAGATAAGCAATTTATCAAATAGACTTCTCAAACTCTCAGCTCTTGATGACTCAATATCCTGTGTTATTTTTACCAATAACAGGCCTTACACTAACGGGAAGTCATCTGAGGATTTCTTTGAGGAAGAATGCAGTATACTGACTTGGAAAATTCTCCACATGAGACATCAAATATTTCTTTCTCCACTACCTGAAACAAAAGAGAAAAAAAGTTGAAATTCAGGAGAGAGACCTTAACATTTCATCTGCACCAAGGTCATGCTCTCTGTGATGTTTTTTTTTAAAACGAAATACAACATTAAAAAAAAATATGTATCACAAATGTGCTCATAACTTCCTACTTCTCCTGTGTATGCTTGCATGGGTGTATGAGATCTCCTTACTTTTACTTGAAAAGCTATAAGCATTATAAAATATCTTTCCTCAAGGGGGAAAAAAAATGCATCAGTCTTCTAGACCCTTCAGTGGAGAATACAGAGACAATGGGCATTGGTGGGAAAAGAGGATTGTGCAGAGGGGAAGTGACTTCATGGCTACTGATGTCACTCATGCCTCTGTAAGGCCATGGTCTCCAAAGGAAAGCATCCACCAAAAGGATCATCAGATTGCTGCTTGGAATATTTACCTTTCTCCAGTTATTCCCAAATCCATCATTTTTTACCTCCTGAGTTGCAGCTTGAAAAGAGATATTTCTGGTTCTGGATGACTACCAACCCAAGGAAATAGATATCTGTAAGAATTAACTCACAGCTTTGGAAAACAACCCAAAATAAGGCCCAGAGATTGTTCCTTACATGGTGTCCAAGTTAGAACTATTCAAACATATTTCTTTTTTTTTTTAAGATTTAATTTATTTATTTGACAGACAGAGATCACAAGTAGGCAGAGAGGCAGGCAGAGAGGAGGAAGCAGGCTCCCTGCCGAGCAGAGAGCTCGATGCGGGGCTCGATCCCAGGACCCTGGGATCATGACCTGAGCCAAAGGCAGAGGCTTTAACCCACTGAGCCACCCAGGCACCCCTCAAACATATTTCTTAATGTGACATTAAATTATTTCTTAATGCTTGTTCACTTGAATTGTATGAAGACAGGTATCTTAGTAAATTATCTCAGGTGAAAACATTGTTAATTCTGTAATGCAAGTATACAACCTGATAACTTTTTAAAAAAATATTTTATTTATTTATTTGACAGACAGAGATCACAAGTAGGCAGAGAGGCAGGCAGAGAGAGAGGGGGAAGAAGGCTTCCTGCTGAGCAGAGAGCCCCATGTGGGGCCTGATCCCAGGACCCTGAGGTCATGACCTGAGCCGAAGGCAGAGGCTTAACCCACTGAGCCACCCAGGAGCCCCAAGCTGATATCATGTTTATCTTCTTAGCTGAATGCCACCAACAGACATGGATGATATTTTTGCTAGTAAAACAAAGTATGTCATGAGTGTTACACAAAATATCACAAACATTCCCTGAGTCTTTAGAAATCAAACTCAACTTTTACATATGAAGAATATCAAGTTGTCAAGGTGAAACTCTTTAAAACATACTTTAAGATGCTTAACTGAAATTAACTGTCAGGACAAATACATAGAGAACAACACCACATAATTAGATTTTCAGCTGAGTATTAAAATATGGAATAGTATGAGGTTTTCCATCTGGAAAATCCAATAAGTTTTGATATGTAGGATCTATTTCGGTACATTAAATACTTCCCCCAAGTATTGCAACATTAGGTCTCTTCTTCAAAGATGAAGACTATGCCTTCCGATGTTTTTTCCTGTGGATGATGACTGAGGTAAACATCTCCTCAAATGTACTCCCTTTAATCAAGCATTATTGAGGGGTGGGAACAGAAGCAAAACAGGCAAAGTACACAGGTGATTACATCATAAATTCTCGAGCCTGATAACAGAGGACAGATTAGGATGGCAGATACATAGGGCATGTAAACTGGACTTATTTTATAGAAGAGTGGGAAGTCATTTTCCCAGGCAGCACAACAATGAACTAATGAGATGTTATGATGCTAACTGATTTAAAATGTGGGTAGGAGGAGAGTCTGGGCATGTACCACCAGGGTATATAAGTAATCTGGTCTAGTTTCATGCAGATTTAGACAAGGTGCTCTTTGCTGCTTATCTGAAATCTTTACTTCAGATTCTACCATGACATCCAACGTTTGCTCTTCTGGAAACTATGGTTCTCCATCTCTTGGGAGTCACTGCCGCGTTCCTGTTACTTCATCTACTACTTTCTACACTGCTGGTATGAACTGTGGTGATAGTCTCTGCTTTCCCAGCCAAAACAGAACATGGCTCCTGGACAACTTCTTGAAGACATGTGGAAAACCTTCCAGCTACCAACAATCCAGCTGTGGGTCCACAACCTATGAAATTTCCTGCTACCCTTCTACTACATACTATGCTTCGAGGCCCTGCAGAGGAATCAGTTTTTTTCCCATTAGCTATCGCTCCAGATCCTGTCAACCACCAATGTATAACAGAGCTCAGAACTACTTGTCAAGTCGTTTCCACCCCCAGAACCACCTCTCTTATGGCTGTCAGTCACAGAACTTCATCTTCTGTGGGTATCGACCACTGAATTTTGTGTCCAGGGCCTGCCATCCTTTGAGATATCTCTCCTATGACTTTCAACCTATTGGTTATGTGTTCAGCAGCTTCAGACCCCTGAACTATGTGTCTAATAGGTTTCAACCTGTTCACTACATATACAACAGTTTCCATCCAGCTTGCTCCTTTGGGACTTGGCAATCTCCATTTATTAGAAGATCATGCTGAATTGTCATTCTAGCATCTTGCTAGAGAGCTTTGTCAAGAAGTATCATCTTCAGGTTGATGGATCGTTATGCTTTCAGTTCAGTTACTGTTTTAACCTATATTCTTACTTGATCAGATTCTCAGTGATTTTAATTGTTTGCTTATTTACTGGAATATTATTGCTACCAGGCTTCTTGATTTCTATGTCATTAACATATTCTTAAAAAAATGTTTTCATGGTTATCTCTAAATAAACTTACTTCAAATAATTCAGAAAAAAAGTTTTTCAATTCTTCATCATCCTTCATGAAGTTAAAGCCTCTTAGTTATACTAAACAAAATATATTTTTTAAAAAGAGTATCTGAAAAAAGCAAACAAGATAGATACTTTCAAGGTCCTGATTGAACATGTTATAACAGTTGAACATGAAATATGCATCTGCACTTTCTAACACTTAAACAGGGAATTATGAGGGTTCTTTAGTCAGAACAGACTGTGTTTTATCACACTAACCTGGAACTTCAAAATTCCAGGAGCTTGAAATCACAATGGTTTATCACTCATACACATTATTATTTCATGCCAAAATAATTCCCATTCTGGGATTCAGGAGTAGAGAGCCTTGACTATGGGAAATATTGCCAGTAGGGATAGAGGGAATATAGAAAGAGAATCACCTACCAACTTGATATATGTCTTTTAACATTTGGTGGAAGTCAGCAAGTTACAATGTTCACCTTACATAATGGTATAAACCACAAAGGGGTTACATAAACTTTAATTCTGATTAGTGGAAAGCACATTATATTTTCCTCTTGAATTAAATTTAACAAGTGCTTCCTTCACTCACTCATTGATTCTTACATAGAGAACACTTGGAAATTATTTCTTTCTTTTATATATGTATGTAACTAATTATTTCAGTTCCTTCATGTATTCAGTGAGAACTTGCTCTTCCTACAATATCTACCTATATCTCATATCTACCATACTGATACTTTCAATATGCCACCGTACCACTAAGATAATCAGTAATCTTCTATAAAGACAACTAAAAAAGCATATTATTTTCCCCATTTTTTACAGATAAAAAGAAGTCCAATAGGACAAACAGCTTTCCCAAAGACCCAGTTAAGTTGGATTCCAAAGACTTTTCTTTACTCTCCATATTATCTATAGCCTTTCTCATTGAGGTAATGACTAATTTAGAAGCTTTCAGAAGTTGTCAATAGCTTGACAACCATGACCTTCAACTGTAAAACTGTGAAGTCTAAACTGTAAACAAAACTATTTCTTCTCTGTCTCAGCCACAGTACACCCTTCTCTCTAGGATGCCAACTAATTTTAATGGTACATACACTTATGTCCTCTCTGGGAGTCTTATTTCCTATGTAGATGGTAGGAAATGTCCTCAACATATTAAATTTCTCTAAATTTTATAAGTACATATATATAATTTATATATTATATATAACATATAATATATATGTGTGTGTGTTTGTTTGATATATAACTTATACAGATTGTAACAAGTTGTCTAACCTAAGACTTAAGCCTCCTTTAGTGTTTTTTTCTTTTTCTTTTCTTTTTCTTTCTCTCTTTCTCATGTACTCTTACAAAATGCAATAGGTTTTAGATGAGATCCAATAATAATGATAATGAAAGTAATAATATGTAATAATAATAATAAAGACTGTAGGCTTGTGATAATGATAAAAGTTAACATCAACTACATAATAACCATATTTCATAAACTATGACTAACTCATTTGATCCTCAGAGTGATCTATGGAGAAAATACTATTGTTATTAACTCCATTTTGAAAATGTGGACATTGAGTTAGAGAAACGTTTGGTAGTAATTGATATTCTAAAATATTTAAAAGAATAGAATCTATGAAGTTTGAGTATTGAGCCCTTATTCTTAACAACTGTATATGCAGCTTTCTGGGAATTAGCTCATGACTACGGCACAGAAGAATATGAGTTAAAAAAGAGAAGTCATTATGGATCTATTGTCAAGAAAAGCATTTTTCTTAACTACGTGGGGTAGAACTGTCCATTTATGGCATTAACTTTTAGAAGAGGCAAGATTATTGCAGGACATCTCTTTGCAATATCAAAGTAAATTAGCAGTGAGAATATTTTTTTTTAGTCTAATGGGAGGCTAGATTTTTTTTTAAGTTACAGCTTTAGAAAATCAGAAGGAAAGTAACATTTGATTTGCATCTACTATGTGTCAAACACTCTCTTAAGTAACTTCACATTATTTATCTCATTCTGTCATCACAACAGTCCTGAAAAATAGGTGTTACTGGCTCTGGTTTTACATCAGAAGGTACTGAGGCACTGAGAAATAACAATTTTCCTAGGTCACACACTAATAAATATGTGTAATAGTACTTAGTAAGAGGGTGATTCATAACTCATGGAGGCATAGTCTTGACAGCTTCATCTCAAAATGTTTAACTCATTCACCAGTATCTCATTATATTCTTACAATGTTTTCCTTAAAATGTAAGCACAAATCAGACTCGCATTTCTATCTTGTCATGTTATTATTTTAAAAGTGCTTAATCTTCATTTACTCCTGTATCTTAAATTCTTAATTTTGCTCATTTGCCTTTCAGCTGTTGAAACAATTAATGATCTATGAAACCAACAGGGTAAATGTAGCTACAATGTCCACCACTTTAGGTTACCACTGCTAAATTTAAGAATCATTTCAACTCAATAGTTAACAATTTAATTGCTATATAAGTATGGTTTGGATACATTTTGCTTTTTTAAATCATGGGATCACTGTTGCATCATTGAATAGCACTAGGGAAAGTGGAATTAGAATACAAATATATATGTGGTGGCAAAAAAAGAAGATAAAAATTCTATCATGACTGAAAAGTCTAGAAGGTGACCTCCATTATTTTCTTTAAGGGCCATTTACTGGAAAATTTAGCTTTCTTTGATCTTCTGTGTTTACCCTAAAGGATTTTTAACCTTCGTAAAAAATGGGAAGGAGTTCCATAACTCTTTTTTAATGAGTTACAAGAAATCGGCTGCCACATTAAATAAAGGGATTTTGTTTCTTATTCTTCAGAAGGCATAAGAATTTCTCTGCATTATCTGATGGCTAGAAAGCTTATTCCTTGCATCTTAAACTTGCCCTAGATACAGAGCCCAAACTCTACGTAAAGACTAACTAATAGAGTGACCTAAATTCTTTGACATAATGTATTAGTTTCTTGTGGCTACTATAACATAGTTCCACAAACTTGGTGGCTTTACTCAAGAGAAATGTATTCTCTTGCAATTTTGGAGGCCAGAAGTCCAAAATCAGTTTCACTGAACTAAAGTTGAGATGTCAAAAGGGCTGATGCCTTTTGGAATCTCCAGTGGAAAATTCATTCCTTGCCTCTTCTAACTTCTCAATGTCGCCAGCATTCCTTCACTTATGTCAGCATAACTACAATCTTTTCCTCTGTCATCAGACAATGGCACCCAAATGACGATGGTTTTTACTTTCTGCTAAAACTTACCATTGTGATGAGCTTACTTGCTCTATTACTGATGCTATCAGCTTTGTGTCTTGCCAAGATGCAGACTAAAATAAAAGATATTTCTGTAGAAGTATCATTTACAGAATATGGTGGGTGAATGGGCTGTGATGATTACTTATGACAGTAATGGGTAAGTAAGAAGGTAAAACACAAAAGCAAATGAGAGGAGTTGATCCAACATGGATGGAGCTAGAGAATATTTTGCTAAGTGAAATAAAGCAGACAGAGAAAGACAAATACTATATGACTTACTTATATGTGGAATCTGAAAAACAAAACAAAAGAATGGTTAAATAAACAAAAACAGACTCATAAATACAGAGAACAAACTTGTTGTTGCCAGAGGAGAAGGGCCTAGGGGGATGAGTGTAGTCAGTCGGTGAAGGGAATTAAGAGGTACAGACTTCCAGTTGTAAAATAAATAAGTCAGAGGGATGAAAAGTAAAATATAGACAATAAAATTGTGATGACCTTATATTATGATGGATAATAGCTACACTTATTCTGGTGAATGTAGTGTAATGTACAACATTGTCGAATCACTATATTGCACACCTAGAACTAATATAACATTGCATGTCAACTATACTTCAATTTAAAAAAATGAAAAGAGTTGAGCTAACTTTACCTTTGCAAATCTCAACATTTGATTAATTAGAATATGTTGTACCAAATAAATTTAAATATGTCATAAAGCCTCATGAGGTGAATGTTGGTTATGCTATGTAATGTTCTACATATTCTTGTTGGATTTACACTAGTGTGAATGATATTAATTTAAAATACTACTGAATGCTAAGTTGTTTTTTCCCCTCAAATCTATCTGAAGGAAGCCTAAAAGTAAGACTAGAGATACCAAAGAGAAATGCAGAAATAATGCTGCATCAATGTCTGGACTCTTCTATATAGGACTAGGATTCAGTAGCTCAGTGCAAAGTTGACCATCAGCTTCTTTACATATTTTATTTCTTCTGCCATTTCTGCACATCTTTGCACAAAATCCCAGGACACTCTGTAGCCAAACAATTTACTGAAAATATGGTTTCCTGATCCTGACCCTTTTCACTTGAGAGACACATCACAAAACAGCAAAATCTGTTTAATAAAGAGTTGCTTACAGAATAAACCCATCACCTTATAGAATAAATACTAAGGGAAGCATGGAGAAAACTCAGGTTGAGAAAAATATTTGGAGAATTGGTGTGCGTTTTAAAAATTTAGCCGAGAAGGAGAGAATAGGAAGAGAAAATATAATTGTCTTCTGTAAGGGTAGTGTCTTTGAAAAACCATCCTTAGAGCTTATCTCACCTGAATAAGTTGGTGCTGTCCTCTGTCTGAACCCATCTGTGTTAATAAATGCATTCCTGTTTCCAATTCAATGTAGGCTGTAAGTTTGAATTATAGTTTATATTTTCAAGAACAAAATGTCAATTCTTCAGCTTGAATTAAAATCTTTAAAAAAAATTCCATCAGCTTTCACCATAAGGAGCAGAAAGTGTTATTTAAGATATACAGTACCTATAGGAACTATATGTTATTCAAATAAATTTTTAAACATAGTTATTCCCTTTTGTGGGTATAGACAAAGAATAACTTCAACACAAGAATGAAATAAAGTTTATGTGCAAAAAATGCAAATCAAGAATAAATAAAACTTATGTTGGGAGAAATGTAGAAAAATGTTATACATTTGGCAGGAATTGGGTTTTACAGCTGAGACAATGGAATGTGTGATCTATAATCTCAGTCAGTTAAGAAGGCATAATCTTGAGAAACTGGCCTTCTTTGATACTACATATGACAGAAACTCTTTAAGAAAGAAATCTCAGAAAAATCTTGGTTACTTAGCAACCACTGACCCACAAGTACAAGTTAGGTCACTAAATCTCACATGGGTTACCGTGAGTTTTACAGGGGGTATTCTCCAAATATGTCAGATGAGAAGGCAACACCAATACATGACCTAGCACAGTTAAGAGCATAGTACATATTTTGGGGGACCAATTCTTTCTCTTAATAGTTCAATGCTTTATCCTCTTTTTTAAGTAACAGTATTGACACAGCCCAAGTATTTGGCTTAGTTCACAGTATAGGATTAAGTTCTATAGTATCTTGCCTGGTCAAAAGAATGGAAAAGTACAGTATCTTGCCTGGTCAAAAGAATGGAAAAGTACGGGTTCATTGTTTTGCTTGAACCCTTGTTAACCCTTTAATGACTATGCAGCAGAAGCCTACAGACACGTGAACTCCTGTGAACCACCGATTGGCAGATGCGAGTTTGCTTATTAACGTTAAAATCACTATTCGCTGAAGCTATGGCCTATGGGTGATGGGTGATGCTCAACATGGCGATTAGAAATACTTTGAAGAATCAAAATAAACTTATTTTTATAGGAGTGTGAAGACGTCAGAGGCTGTAGCTAAACAACTCACTAATAAGATGTTGTTGTGTTGTTGTCCCAGGCAGGGAGAAGGAAGAGAGTCTGGGGAGGCTGCAGACAATGCCCAGGAAAGATATAAAAAGTCCGTAGGCCATAGTATCACCATACTTCCAACGCCATCACTGAACATGCAGTCAGGCTCCATGTCTCTTCTGGGCTGCTCTGGGGAATGCAGTGATAAATCCTACAGAACTCACTGTTATATGCCAGTGACTCCTTCCGTTGCACTTTGCTCCAGTGATGTAAGCCCTACTTTTGGGCTCTGTTTACCCAGTAGCTACCAAGGAAATCTTTGGCTTCTGGGTAACTGCCAAGAAACCTATGCTGAAGCACCAAGCTGCGAATCTCCTAGCTGTGAGCTCAAGATCTGCACCACAAGTTGTGACCCGTCAAACTCCTGTGTGCCCTGCAACTCTCCAGCAGTGGGCCAAGCCTGCAGTACCTGTGAAACCGCCAACATTGGACCTAACTCCAGCTGCAACCCATGCACTCAGACCAAGGGGTATGTATCTTATTACTACAAACTCAGCCAAAGTCCATCTAAAGCCTGCCAGACCTTCAGCAATGGCTTCAAGGGCTTTGGGCAACTTAACTGCTCGTCCAACCGTTTCCGTCTCCTAAACCACTGTAGAGTGGGTAGTTTGGGTTATAGAGGCTGCCAAAATCTTGCCTTCATACCCAGTGGCTTCTCACCATCATGTTATATTTCCAGAAGCTGCCAATCCCAAAACTGTTTAGTGAGAAATTGCCGATATCCAAGTTATGGACCAGTGAGCCGCCAACCGCTGAGATATTTTTCTAGAAACTTCCAGTCTCTGAGCTGCATTCCAAGTACCTTTCCTCCTCTGAGGTATTTATGCAGTGGTTGTAGACCTCTGAGTTGTTATTGAATAATGTGTTGCATTTGTAGCTACTGGGTATTGTAGCAGATTCTGACTAGTAGTCATCTTCTCTGATATTCGGCTCAGTTACTTCACATGTCTTAAGAATCTTGTTATATTAACCTCAAATACAACTCCAGGACTTATCAACCACAACCATGATAATTTACTAGCTTTTTTTTCTTTGTTGCTCTGTTAATATCCTTTGTGTTGAGGGCTGAACCTGAAGGTGGTATTGTTTCTGCGGTTCACTACAATGGACAGACTGAAGAGATTCCACATAAAATACGAATATTGTCAGCTTTCTGATGTTGGCTGTCATTGTCCCTTGTCTGCCACGGGGAATATCCCCTACCTTCTTGATGAAGAAAAGACTTTTTGGTTTGACTGATGATTCCAGCACATTCTTTCAGAATGTTTGCTTTTTATCATTAGTCTTGTGGACTGCTTAACTAGCATGTTGCTAATGAGCTAAGAGATAGCATTACCTTAAATATGCTATGTCCAGCTATTGCATCCATCCCTACTGACTGATTATCAGGATATGCAAGCAGCAGTGCTCAACTCAAAATCAGAAGACCTTCAGCCAATCTTCTCCTCCAAAGAAGCCCCAAAGCCCTCAGTTGGATGGCATTCAACTTTGGTTCCCAATGCCTAGGAGAGAGCCTTGGGAGTAGCATCAGCACAAGAACTGTTTGTTGAAAGAATGACAAAATAGTCTTATAGATTCTTCATGATTAGTGATGATCTATGTTTGTGGTTCTGCTATAATCCTCCCCTGCTGAATTATTGCTTTCTGACTCTAGAAAAGGTTCTGGTTCATAGTTAATAAACAAATATCTATTGGGAAATAATGTTTTACATTATGCTTTATTTCATATTCACTGAAGTTTTATCCATGTTCTGGGCAATATGCATAACATTGTGGAAGCACTAGTTTCCTGTCATTTAGTTTAATAGCCTAATTAAAAATATGAAAAGATAGAATATGAATTCCTAGGATTTTATTTGTTTTGTTTTGTTCTATTTTTAACACATTGAATGGCATTTCTCTCAGAGTGTCTGTGATTGGTATATCTGTAGAAAACCAGGAGAAAACATAAAATAAATGAATTTAGTGCAAATTATATAAAGCATTAAATATATTTCCCTGCACAATATGTGTATCTATCGGTTTTGTAGATAAAGTTTGGGGTTTGGAATAGATTTAATATTGAACCCTGAGAGAATTGATTTAACCTCTAAAAAGTTCTCCAAAAAGTGAAAATAAAATCATCCATCTCAGTGGTTCAAAAGTAACATTTATCCTAAGAATTTTGGTAAATAAAAAGCAAATCATGTTTGCAGTCAAATAAAGTGGGCTGTGGAGATGAGTGTTAACCAGAGATTGGATGAATGGAAGAAGGTCATCAATATTAGAAATCCAAAATTAAAACTCTTGAAGCCTTCAAAAGGGGCTACCATTTTACATATTCAGTAGTCCTACTATATATAAGAAAGGCTTATGGAAGGAATATGAATCGTTCACTCCTGCTTGAACATGTCTGTGGACAATCAAGTCACTCCTTGGTGAGTTCATTCCATTTTCAGAGAGTACTATTTGTTGAAAATTTCTTCTTTATATTGACACAAATTGAATTGTTCTTAGCCACTATCCATTGACTGAATAGGACCAGTTTAATTCCTTTAACCCTGAACAGGTGTTGAGGTATTTGAAAATAATTGCTGTGTGTCCCAGATGAGTATTCAGCTGTCCAAACTAAACATACAGCCTTTCTCTTTGCAAACTTTAATAGAAAACTTATTCTTTGAAGCATCAAATGAGATTCTTTGGGGGATATCAAGATTTATAGATCCTATTCTCAAGAACTATCCAGAGGAGTAATATACTGAAACAAACAATACTTCAACCATTTTGAGTACAATATAAAATGAATCAGAGGGAGGACTCTAACAGGAGAATTAGAGAATACCTTGTGGAAGAAACAGCATTAGAGTGATACCTGAATGTGAACGGACTGGGGGATGTGTATGTAATGAGGGAACAGGAGGGTGGGGGCAAGAGATACATTTAAAAAGATGCATAGATTATTTTGACCCAAGGGAAGGATACATAAACTCATCAGTGGGGGAAAAATTGGGAGAAAATATGAGACATTGGGTTAAATAAAAACAAACAAATAGTTATAAAATACAAGATTTGTAAATGTGGCTACATCTGATCAAAAGCTCCTGATAACAGAAGACACTATATAGAAATTACAAATAAAGCAAAAGAGTGTGTGGGGGGGTGGTAAAAGGGAGTGTGAGAACTTTCTGTACTTTCCACTCAAATCTTCTGTAAACCTAACGTCTAACAAACAGTCCTAATGGAAGATCAGCACACCTGGAACTATGATGTTATGTGTCAATTAAACCAAATAATAATAATAAAAAACCCAGGCGAACAAAAAATGATCAAAAAAAGCATGATTGAGACAAAATAGGTATAGAAGACCCCATAAAATTACTGTTTAGAATATTTAAGAACACAAATAAAAAAAGAAAAACACAGTGACTTAACAACAAATAAACAATATGAGCAATTAGGGGCACTTGGGTGGCTCAGTCAGTTAAGCGTCTGCCTTTGGCTCAGGTAATGATCTCAGGGTCCTGGGACTGATCCCCATGCAGGCTCCCTGCTCAGTAGGGAGTCTGCTTCCTTTCCTTCTCTCACTGCCCCTACCTCATGCTTGCACTCCCTCTCACAAATAAAGAAAGAAAATCTTTAAAAAAATATGAACAATTACTCATAAAATAAATATAAATCATCAGTAAACACATCGAAGAATGTTCCACCCAGTAGTAATTAGTAATTATAAATGCAGAACATTATTTTCATCATCCACTTGTCAAACATTTTAGTTACTTATGTCAACTTAAAAACATATGCTTATACACTGAAGGTGGTAGTAGAATTTGATAGAGCTGCTATCTACATGAATATTTAAAAGGCACACATTGTATGATCAGATACTTTCTTTTCTTAATGTGTCCCCTACAGAAACATTCTTTCAAGTCTTACAATATTTATTTCAGCATGGCCTGAATACTGAAAAATTAGAAGCAATGGAAAACTCCATCAAAGGTAGATTTTCAAATAAAATGTAATGTAATTATGCTAATAAATATTTTATGAGAATTAAAAACAGTGGATCCATATTTCATATAAACATGTAGATCCATCTTAATTCTATGATGAAAGATATTACAAAATAAAAAATAAGATTATAAAATTTGATAAATAAGATGTGACATTTTATATAATCTCACATTTATCAATGAACATTTCTCAAAACTGTTTATCCTCTATCCATCTATTTATCTATCTGGATAGAATAAAAAATTCTAGAAAAACACAACCTGGGGCACCTGGGTAGCTCAGCCAGGTAAGCATCAACTTTTGGCTTAGGCCATGATCTCAGGGTCCTGTGATCAAGCCCCACATTGGGATACCTGCTCAGTGGGAAGCCTGCTTCTCCCTCTCCTTCTGCCTGACACTCCCCCTCCTTGTGCTCTCTAACTCTGTCAAATAAAATCTTAAAGAAAAAGAAAAACACAAACTAAGTTATGTTAGCTTTGGGAGAGTTTTAGAAGTGGTAGTTGGTGATTCTTAAAGTAATTTTTAGACTTAAGAGTCCTACTTTGATTCCCTAAGTAATTAAAAAAAATTGTCCCATTCTATGACTCTGTAGAGCATATAATCAACAACCTCTCCTATGCTACTGTTAATAAAAATATTGAATAGCAAAGTGAAGTAGGCATCAGTCCTCTATAGCACATTACCTTCTAGAACATCATAGAATATAAAGATTCATATATGTCTATTCAAATTAATTTAGGCATAAACTATGCTCAGTAATTAACCCACTAGGTCCATAGCTCCAATGGCAGCTAATTTGTAGAATCCAACTGAGGTCTTTTTAAATTTGCACTTAAAAATAGACAAATGAGGGACACCTGTGTGGCTCAGTTGGTTGGACGACTGCCTTCGGCTCAGGTCATGATCCTGGAGTCCCGGGATCGAGTCCCACATCGGGCTCCCAGCTCCACAGGGAGTCTGCTTCTCTCTCTGACCTTCTCCTTGCTCATGCTCTCTCTCACTGTCTCTCTCTCAAATAAATAAATAAAAATCTTTCAATAAAAAAAATAGACAAATGAATTACTTCTTTCCCCATACATTTTACTGAACAGCTGACTAACACTTTCTACTTTCCAAATAAAAGACCATCTATTTTTTTTGTTAAAAAACCTACTTATAGATTTAAAATATTATTTTCTGCAGTTACAAAAAATTTACAAATACAAATATAAGCATTCAAGTGTTTTTAATGCTTATCTCTCTCACACACAGCAGAGAAAGGAATACAATGAATTTGTATGTACATTTACTATTCTAAATGCTATAAGTCATACAAATTTCTACTCTGTAATCTGTTTAACGCTCAGTGGACTTCATGGATAATTAAAGTGTCTGGCTTAATTTATATACTTAAATGTGTTTGTTTAGACGACTAATAATTTACTTTATAACAAAGTTTTAAAGAGTTGATAACGCCACTGTATTTGGCATGCTGTCAAAGACCTGAATATAATTGCATAATTCTGCTGTTTCTTTCTGTCTGTCCCTTGAAACTGTATTATTAGCCAACATCTTTTTGAAACCTTCTTTCATCTATCATATTTTCTAATGGATAAGAAATAAATCTCTATCACTTCTAAGCCTAGTGTAAACATTAATAGATTTTAAATTTTTTTTTTCCGTTGAGTTTCTCAACTGTCTTTTTCTTTATGAGTTCTGCATGGAATGCCTATCAATGCTCTCAATATAGCGTGGGTATACTAGACATGATTTGTTTAAGAAAAATGGATCTCATCCACCAGAAGGCCCTTGATGAATTAGCAGACTCACCTGACAGTTCAATTAGCCATATTGTCACTCCCAATATCATAGAGACTATCTCAAAACT